GGCTTGTTTTACAACGTCGTTGCCAAGCGACGAAAACCCAACCCCGATGGTAAACACCGGAGGGGGCGCGGGATCTGGGGGGGGGCGCGAAAAAACAAAATAACCACTCTGCCCCCTTAAAAAAAAACGCACTTTTGTTCAGCTAGGGGTGGGTAGGAGTACCGAAGATTTCAGATGTCATGGGGGTATCATGTGTCTTATCGGGGCGTTGCTTTTTTTGTGGTCGAAATTGAGCTATGCTTCTTAGCCCTTTTTTCCTGTTTTTCGTTAAGTTTTAGCCTTTTTTCTCCACATATTTTTTCTCTGCGGGCGCTATCGATGGCTTGTGGAATGCGCCGCGAGCTGGGGGGAGGGCTACTGGCAGTGTCGGGGGGTTGGGGGGGGGGGAGGAGCTGTTTTCTCCAACCAACCGCTAAAAACCCTTCGCTTCCCAGCAGCTGAAGACCGATCCAACGGAGGAATGACCAGGAACCNGGGGGGGGGGGGGGGGGGGGGGGGGGGGGGGAGGAGCTGTTTTCTCCAACCAACCGCTAAAAACCCTTCGCTTCCCAGCAGCTGAAGACCGATCCAACGGAGGAATGACCAGGAACCTTTTTAAATATACAACATATCCACTGAGCAAAGCATTGAGCGCTGACTATAATTTCGCTCAGTGGATATATATGGTGTTTAGACTATATCAAACAAAAGTACAACCAGGGTCCGAACAGCTGTTAGCCTGCCGGACTCTGGTTTTCCCCCAGGGTTGTCATCCCTGTAAGTAATCAGCGCTGCCCCAAGCGGTTCATCGGCTTACGGGCGGGCGTGGATATGCGTCTTCATCGTTGACGACTGGTGATGTGCATGATGACTTTCACGTGGTGGGTGTCCCAGACTTTTTTCTTTTTCCTGGAAAAGGTGCATGATGGCTGTCAGAGGGATTCGAACCCTGGTTGCACTCTTGTTACGGCCGTTTTAAACGGACCGACTTTTTTGTCAAAATCTTCGACATTTATTTGTAGGCCTGTCCTCCATCGGCCGTTTTGCTTGTATGACGGAGAATAAGAAGGTGGAATTACTTGAAATTAGTATAGAAATAAAGTTTGTGTATCTAAATCGAAAATAAAACGGCCGATGGAGGACAGGCCTAGGACATTTGTCTTTCGAAAACTTGGAACCTGTGTGCAGTCATTTTAAACGTGTGACGTGGACTTGTGCAACTTGTGTAAAAAAAAATGACGCCGTCCGTGAGTTGTAGCGCTCACTTCGAGACAACACACACGACACAACACAAACCGCGGAAAACACGACATCATGGACACCGACATGGATATCACGACCACCCAGCGTGGCCGGCAGACCAAAACCCCGGCGAAATTCCAGCAGACGGGCTCTCTCGGTGCCGCCGTAGGCGGTGGAGGCTTGCT